TGAGTGTTAGTGATGTATGTATGAGTGTTAGTGATGTATGTATGAGTGTTAGTGATGTATGTATGAGTGTTAGTGATGTATGTATGAGTGTTAGTGATGTATGGATGAGTGTTAGTGATGTATGTATGAGTGTTAGTGATGTATGGATGAGGTTAGTGATGTATGTATGAGTGTTAGTGATGTATGGATGAGTGTTAGTGATGTATGGATGAGTGTTAGTGATGTATGAGTGTTAGTGATGTATGGATGAGTGTTAGTGATGTATGTATATGAGTGTTAGTGATGTATGGATGAGTGTTAGTGATGTATGTATGAGTGTTAGTGATGTATGTATGAGTGTTAGTGATGTATGTATGAGTGTTAGTGATGTATGTATGAGTGTTAGTGATGTATGTATGAGTGTTAGTGATGTATGTATGAGTGTTAGTGATGTATGTAAGGAGTGTTAGTGATGTATGTGTGAATGTTAGTGATGTATGTGTGAGTGTTAGTGATGTATGTGTGAGTGTTAGTGATGTATGGATGAGTGTTAGTGATGTATGTATGAGTGTTAGTGATGTATGTGTGGAGTGTTAGTGATGGGAGTGTTAGTGATGTATGGATGAGTGTTAGTGATGTATGTATGAGTGTAGTGATGTATGTGTGGAGTGTTAGTGATGTATGATGAGTGTTAGTGATGTATGGATGAGTGTTAGTGATGTATGTATGAGTGTCAGTGTCGTATGTATACTGGTGATAAGTATGAGTACAAGTGCTAAAGGAATTTTAAATAGTGATATATACTGTATAAGAGGATTATAGTGTATCTCTATATGGGTTATGAACCCGATAGAGGACGTGTTTATATAACCTACTGCTGTAACACACACACACACACACAACAATATAACCTGGTAAATGAAGTTAAATGGAAGGGAAGGAGGTTAAAACTATAATTATGGTAATATAATAGGTTGTTGGGTGAAGGAGTGTCTCACAGTATATTGTGAGGAGAGACAAGTGTAGGGACGGAGAGAGACAGATAGAGGCGACAAGTAGACTGAATAGGAGAAATAAATTTACAAGGAGAGACGGCAAGGGGGGGAGGAGAAGGCAGATGGAGGAGAAGGAGGACTGGTGGGAGGAGGACCACCATAACACACCCCTTGTCTTATAAAGAGGGGGAGGATAGGAGAAGAGGGGGAGGAGGAGGACCACCATAACACACCCCTTGTCTTATAAAGAGGGGGAGGATAGGAGGAAGAGGAAGAGGAGGAGGAGGACCACCACCATAACACACCTATATTTAAAGAGGAGGAGAGGGGGGGAGGAGGAGGAGGAGGAGGACCCCATAGCACAACCCTGCCTTAGGAAGGGGAGGAGAGGGGGGGGGGAAAGGAGGAGGAGGAGGAAGAGGAGGATCACCACCATAACACACACCCATATCTTAGAGAGGAGGAGGAGGATGACCCCATAACACACCCTTGTCTAGGGAAGAGGAGGGAGGAGGAGGAGGAGGAGGAGGAGGAGGAGGAGGAGGAGGAGGAGGAGGAGGAGGAGGAGGAGGAGAATTAAGTGGAGTAGAAGGAGGAGAAAGAGGAGGAGGAGGAGGAGGAGGAGGAACAGAAAGAAGAAGGCCACTGTTAGAGTGAAACTTAATAACTTGCAGGCAGAGATGTAAGAGTCCCATTGCGAGGCATTTCTGAAAAGTTAAGCATGTGACACGTACACGACAACGTCATTAAAAAAAAGACATTACAAAAATATATTTTTCATATTTAGTTAAGAAACCAATTAAATTTTATTTATAAATACACGAAACTGCTATACTAAGATAAAGGTGATATTATTGTGAGACGGTATAAGTTTTAGCATACAAATAGTAATTAATTTTCTTCTTCTTATTCTTCTTATTAGTAATTATTATTAATATTATCTAAATGCTTTTCACTGTATATTCCCATACATGACTGCAACATACCACTACCCTTGTTATCCACAGCCTAGCTGGGCCTGCAGGAAGGCAGTAGCGACCTGTACTGGTTCTAGAACTTAGCCTGAGCCACACCCACGCCCATACTCCCACCTGCGCCCACGTCGAGGCTAGCATCGCCTTCATAGACACTATACATGTGAAGTATAGCAAGATGTAGCACTGAGGCTGTCCATGGACCACTGTAAGGGCTACATCATCTCACAATATCGAGTCTATGTTAGCTCTCGCCAAAACTATCACTAGCAACAGGACAGTCACCAGGATGAGATCTGAGCAGCAACATGGATCACCAAGTGTCTTCACCACAGAGGAGAGACGAGGAAAATGGTCTCTTAGGGTCACCATCAGAGATATTTCCCAGGCCAAGACCAAGAGTCTTACTGGAGGTGTCAAAACTTATGCCCAAATCACCACCAGTTTCACCAGGACCAGCCGGAGAATTATCACCAGGACCACAAGACGTCATCAAGAATCACAAAATGCTTCACCAGAATGAAGGAAGATTTTCAGGCGCCATAATACTGTACACTTGCCAGATGAGTGGTGACCCTGCCCTGTACAAGGTGGTAGTCAGTAAACATTATTAAACCTTGGATGTGCTGGGTCGAGTGCCAGGAGTCGTGGGCGAAAAAGAAATGCAGAGGACCCCTACACCACCAGAGGGTAAGGAGGCTCACGTTGTAAACAAAAAGTGCCGTGACTATGACGAACAACACCTCAACTAATTTGTAAAAAATACAGACAAAAATTTAATGTGTCCCAAGATCCTCCATGGCGTTAACACCAGAACGCTGCTATGCAATGATGATGATGATGACGATATAACGTGAATACAGTACTGTATATCGAAATGCGACTCTCATGAGATGTAAATAGAGAATGAATTAAGTGTATACAGACATTGTTTTGTGTATTTTTGAGATAGTGATGTTGGTGAATATTCTGTGAACCTGATATCTTGTTTGGAAAAAAATAATCAAGTGAATTTAGCAAAAACTACAAAATATATAATATAATAAACATTACTAAAATGGAATACTTGAGTGAATTACAGACACTAACAGACCGTGATGAAACAGTATGTGTCACCAACCTCAACCATTTATCAAAAAGAAATGAAACCACGTGACAATGACTAACACATTTAAAGACATATAAGTTGTTATAAACATATGCTGGTTATTATAAAATCTTGTAAATAATAGTATAAGTTTTACTAACATTGTGATGGTGGCTGTTAGTGCAGGGAAACGATGCTGAGGAGAAGTGGTCTTTGGCAGCAGCGTTAAGTTATACCTGGAGGAAAAATTCCTCACCTGTGGTTATATGATCAGTCAGGTCAGAAAAGGTAAAATTGGTTAGATGTGCAGTAAAAAATTAATAAAACGGAAAAAATCTTTATTGAATGCTGAAGAAACTAACTAAACGGTGCTTAAAGACCCACGTGGCAATTGGAGCAACACAACCAAAAGATCACTTTAGGGAGATAAAAGTGATATGACTGTTTGTGCCGCCTGAAATAGATGGGTGGACCACTTGAGGCAGAGCCCTTCAGGAAACAGAACTCAGTACTTTTTCTCGACATGACATTTACAAGTCAATATGAAAAACTCACATTGAATATTTTGACAATTACAGACAAAAGGTATTAGAGAGGAAATAATTATAAATGTGATGATATTTTCGGGAAATAAAGATGTTTTATTAACTATAGAAAAAAACTCATTAAATTATGCCTGTTAATGGAAACCAGATTTTTTGTTTATGATTAAAGAAGAAATTATTATAAAGAAAATTATTCGTAAACGTGAGGATTTTATAAAGAGAAAATAAAGTAATTATTTTGCCGATTACATTAAAGAAAAGAGTAAAAAAGGAAATTATCCACAGAAGTGTTGACATTTAAACCTTGACATAGAAAATCCAGGTATATTTTTAAACACTAGGTTTTGAACGTGTCTAGAGACGAATATTCATATTGGTGTATTTTCATTTACATATAAGATCTAATATGATCTAATATTTTTGTTATTACAGCACAATGGTGTATGACTTGTGGCTTCCAGGTGTGTGTGTGTGTGTGTGTGTGTGTGGGGTGTATTGGGGGAGGGGGGACCTGGGATACATTGCACCCGCTCGCTCTCCTCTTTCCAAATTTGATGATAAAATATTGCCAGTGATTGCAAAATATTGTGTTAGATATACCACCAGCCAATATTGATCTACGGTCAATTTTTTAATACAAATTGAGATGACACTCACTTAAGAACCGTATCTTTACAATTTTGTGTGAGACAACATGACACAGCGGACGAAAGGTTTTGACAACCTACCGAGACAACTGGAGTCCCAGAGTTCATTGTGACCTCTCCGTAAAGATACTCTTGGAGTTAGGAGAGTTCATCATATTAGTGGAATATTCAAATAATTTCAAAATCTATTTTCGGTTGAGTTTATCTGATATAATGTACTTAATTACCATTTTCCTTAATGTATTTTTAATTGATGTTATGTACAGTTGATCTATTCTTGATACAAAGTGTAGCCCGGATCACCTATGAATTAATTTGTGACATAGGATGTAATTTTAACTAAACGTATAAACTGACTAATGATATAAAGCATAATTTAATCAGTCATATAAATCAATCATATATATAAATTGATTGATGATATAAAGCTTACCTTCTTCAAGAGGACTATATATATACAGCAGGAATTAACTAACTATATCAATCGACATGTTAACTGAGAGGCTGCTGACAATGTGGGTTAATACCGTCACACAGGTACTATGTGGTGAGATCGTGCGGTCCAACACCATAAGCGAGGCCATAAGATGAGATTTGGATCCGTCGACTGAGGATGTGTGTGTGTTAACTGCAGGTAAACGAAGAATTTACTAAGATCAGAACACGAAAACAATGTCACTTATAATAGAGAAGAAGAGAGAAGGAGGGATAGACAGTGAAAGATGGAGAGAGAGAGACACTATAAGATTAAAGAAGAGAGGGAGAGAAAGGAGGATAAAGAGAAAGAGAAAGAAAGAGTAATGATTATGAGAGAGAGACAACAAGAATGAAGAAGAGAGGAGAGAAAGAGGATAAAGAGAAAGAGAAAGAAAAAGAGAATGAGAGAGACAACAAAATGAAGAAGAGAGAGAGAGAACGCGAGAAAGAGTGGTAGAAAAAACATTAATAGATTAAGTAAGAGAGAATGGGAGAGAAGGAATGAAAAAAAATATTATCTGAGACAGTGAATGACCGTGTTACCTTGAGAGAGTGAATGACCATGTTACCTGAGAGAGTGAATGACCAATTGCCCATGTTACCTGAGAGAGTGAAACCGTGTTACCTGAGAGAGTGAATGACCATGTTACCTGAGAGAGTGAATGACCATGTTACCTGGAGAGTGAATGACCATGTTACCTGAGAGAGTGAATGACCATGTTACCTGAGAGAGTGAATGACCGTGTTACCTGGAGAGAGTGAAACAACATGTTACCTGAGAGAGTGAATGACTATGTTACCTGAGGAGTGAATGACCGTGTTACCTGAGAGAGGAATGACCATGTTACCTGAGAGAGGAATGAATCATGTTACCTGAGAGAGTGAATGACCATGTTACCTGAGAGAGTGAATGACCGTGTTACCTGAGAGAGTGAATGACCATGTTACCTGAGGGAGTGAATGATCATGTTTCTGAGAGAGTGAATGATCATGTTACCTGAGAGAGTGAATGACCATGTTACCTGAGGGAGTGAATGATCATGTTACCTGAGAGAGTGAATGACCATGTTACCTGAGAGAGGAAGGCCGTGTTACCTGGAGAGTGAATGACCGTGTTACCTGAGAGAGTGAATGACCATGTTACCTGAGAGAGTGAATGACCATGTTACCTGAGAGAGTGAATGACCATGTTACCTGAGAGAGTGAATGACCGTGTTACCTGAGAGAGTGAATGACCATGTTACCTGAGGAGTGAATGATCATGTTTCCTGAGAGAGTGAATGATCATGTTACCTGAGAGAGTGAATGACCATGTTACCTGAGGAGTGAATGATCATGTTACCTGAGAGAGTGAATGACCATGTTACCTGAGAGAGTGAATGGCCGTTACCGAGAGAGTGAATGACCGTGTTACCTGGAGAGATGAATGACCTGTTACCTGAGAGAGTGAATGACCATGTTACCTGAGAGAGTGAATGACCATGTTACCTGAGAGTGAATGACCATGTTACCTGAGGGAGTGAATGACTATGTTACCTGAGAGAGTGAGTGACCATGTACCTGAGAGAGTGAATGATCATGTTACCTGAGAGAGTGAATGACCATGTTACCTGAGAGAGTGAATGATCATGTTACCTGAGGGAATGAATGATCATGTTACCTGAGAGTGAATGACCATGTTACCTGAGAGAGTGAATGACCATGTTACCTGAGAGAGTGAATGACCATGTTACCTGAGAGAGTGAATGACCGTGTTACCTGAGAGAGTGAATGACCGTGTTACCTGAGAGAGTGAATGACCGTGTTATCTGAGAGAGTGAATGACCGTGTTACCTGAGAGAGTGAGGACCATGTTACCTGAGAGAGTGAGGACCGTGTTACCTGAGAGTGAGTGAAGGCCTTACATTTTACATTGTTTAAAACTGTTGTAAAAAATCATGACACTGACTAAGAATATTTATATAGAAACAATGTGATTATTATGAACTATATAGACCAGTTATTATTATTATTATTATTATTATTATTATTATTATTATTATTATTATTATTATTATTATTCGACAAAATAATATATTACTTGGAATATTGTTTATTTAGTTGTTGTATAACTGCATTTGAGAGGTTTATTGTGTGAGGGTGAGTATTTATGTACATACGAGGTGTTATGGTGAAGAGGGAAGAGGAGGAGGAGGAGGAGGGGGGTGGGGGGGAATACGTTCTGACGTCATAACAGATTCAGTTGTACTTAAAAAAATATATTGTTTAATTTGTTTTATCATTTCCATTTTTATGTAGTTGATACTAACGATTTTTATGTTAAGAAACGAAATAAAAGTTTTTCGTTAATTGTGTTTTTGTTATCCTTGGCGTTGGTATTAACAAAAGATTATCATACATTACATGCAAAATATATATGTATAATTACACTCTAAATAATATGATATAGGCCTATATAATATACACCCGATATACACCCG